CAGATGACATAATTCCTAAAGTACTAATCAGGTACAACACAGGTAAGTATATTGTAATTTCTGGCTGTATAACCCATGCATTGACAAAGATGAATAATGGTCTAAGAGGTCTAACTGGAAGTCTAGAATACAGTTTGGAAGATCTGTATTGGATGTCATAATTGGAAATCTAATATTTTCTTAAAATCACTAAGGAAAAATGAATAAAATGCAGTAAAAATATATTCCCCTACAAAAACTAAGATTACTATTTCCCAAGTTCATGATTCTGTAGACACAACTTACAAAAAAAAATAGAAGTGGATTATGAGCAGCTCTCATTATGCACATGTTTTACATAGCGTTTAGGTCAGAAGCCTCAAGTTATTTTTTTCCAGGAATATTCATGAGATCTCTAATCATAGTTCTAATTCTATAGTTTACAAGATGGAATATAATAAACAATGAGCTTCAACTGTTCTGGCTTTAAGAGCTAAAACTGGTGTGGTTAAAGAATCTCAGTGATTTAGCTATGCTAAATAAACACCTACAAATTAGAATGCACTGAAGTCAGCTCTATTTCTGTATTCAATTTCCTTTGCAAAGAATCTAGACGTATTTCTTTTTGGGGGCTTTGACCTGTGGTTTCCATTAATTGAAGTCTCATGGTTGTAAATTTAATCATGTGATGATTTTTTTCTCTTCCTAACCTTCATCTGTGTTCTAAGATTTCATCTACTGAGCATAGGATAATAATGGGCTCTGACTACAAGTCAAGCTATTCTTTAGCAAACAGAAACAATTACGCTTGGTAATAAGGTTAAATAATTATTGCTAAGCTATGTGTTGCGATTAAAACAGAACTTTGAAATGACTACAGTATGATTAGAATAAGAATGTGAGATAGCACGATGCTTATGAAATGAACTGGAAAGTGGCTGTGCTGCTGTGTTTATTGTAAATGTATCAGGATGATGGTTCATTTATTTTAAACTAGTTCAGAGCATAAAATAGGTGACAGTGGAACAATGCACCAGCTTTAACTGTAGATTCTGTGAATGGCAAAATAATCATCAGTAGTAAGATAAAAGAATTCCTTTAGTTCACGTTGTATCAGGTAATTTTTTTTTGACTTTTGGATACTTAAGCAGACCTTTTCATTCTTAAATTTGTATATACTAATCCTACAAAATACTATTATAAGAGTCGTTAGGCTATTTAAAGACAATATCCAGCTATTGTTTGTAAGAAGCTGGTTTTCTGTTTTACGAATAAGGGGTCAATGTATTTTCAGGGGGGGTGGTTTAGGCACTGCACTTTTATTGTGAATATTCACCGGAGGAAAAGTTTGAATAAAAAGGAGCTTACATTTTCACAGATAAGGGGAAATTGTAATGCCAAATGAGTTGGTTAAATAAAGGAATTATCTATGGGATACCTAAGATTGGTAGGCTTAATGAGTTCTTTATTTTTAAATATCTAAAAGTAAGTTGTTCTTACTGGAAAAAAGAAAAAAACATTGTACTAAAAACAAAAGGAATATGCCATCATAGTGCATAACTATAGAGTCTTTAGTGCTTCTACAGCTCAGTACAGAACAAGGAACACGGAGGTTTAAAATACTCTTTATCCTCTCTGTAAGTTAGAACAAGTTATTCAATCATGCACTGAGACTTTCTCAGGGAACCTTTACAGGTCATTCAAAAATATATTTTTTTGTGTTGTTCCAAGTGAACTGTAATTAATGCCTCAAACTTAGCTATCTGGCGTTGTAGGCATAGCCCCTTACACAAATCTTCGTGGTTTGCTAATTTTAAAAGATCAATCAAAAACACTGCTTTGGGGGCTAATATTTAGGGAATAAGGTTGATTCTTTCCGGAGTCATTCCGTTTAGCTCTTGTATGAAAATGAGAAACCTGTGAGGATTTGCTACAGAACTGGAGTCAGAGATGCACAGGGAAAGACAAGTATTATATATAAAGTTGGAATCAGAAGTGCAAAAGGAAAGGAAATGTTCTACAGCTTGGGGAGCAGCTGGATGGGACTCCTTCCAGCATGTCGCAAGCAAAGTTTGCAGTTAGGGGAGCTGGATGCAGGGTTTGCTGCAGCCGCGCGACCCGGCGAGCTCGGGTTCCTACGTTTCTGGACACGGCGGGAGTCCAAGTGCAAGGACAGTTAAGATAGGTCGCCGTGCCCCACGCTGTTCTCCGAGAGGAGACTTTGCACCTCACGCCAGACTGGCCTAGGGCTGATCAAGGGCGTCCCAGAAGCTGCCACTTTCCCTTTCCCCAGGCAGCTTCCATCACCCTGATTCTAGAAAGTGCGCAAATTAATTTTCCTTCCGGTCTTGGTTGAGATTCAAATAGTCTGTCCCGACCTTTCGCTATCCGCCCTCTCTGCCCTTCGTGCTAATGTTCCTGCCAGCAAAAGCCTCTAGTTGCAGCACTGGGCATGTTGTCTGCTTAATGCTCTCCGGAGATCTGTTGGCCCGTGCTTGCTCCTGAGGGGTGACAGTGCATATCGTGCTTCATACCCCGATTTGGCTCTTCCCTCCCTTCTTCGCATTCTGGCCCCTCCATTTAGTAAAGGCAAGCGCGAAATGTGCACCCGGAGATGAGCCATCTCGGCATCCCCCATCCGCCCATCGCGGCGCAGGAGGCTCCCCGGGTCCTTGCCTGCGCTCCCCGCCAGCCTCCGGCGCCGCCCCGGCTCGTCCCACCGCCTGCGCTCTGCGGTTCTCCGCCCCTCGCCGCACGGAGCAACCCAGGCGCGGCGCACGCGGTGAGAGCGGTCTCCGCGCCGGCCCGGGAGCAGCGCACTTCCCTCGGGCCGGACCCTGCTGGGCATGCTCAGTGCGCCTCCTGGAGCCCGGCTCTCCCGGGGCCAGGATCAGTTCTCCGGGTTTTCGCGGCTGCCGAGGGGGCGCTGAGGAGGGGAGGCTGGGAGACAGTCGGTGCCTTGTTCCTCGCCCCCTCCCTCCCGCGCGGCTGCGGGGCCGCCCGCACCGCAAGATGCGGGCCAATCAGGGGCCGGGGGCGGGGCTCGGGCAGTCACGCCCTCCCTCTGGGCTTATTGAGAGTTATATCAAGAAATTCAGTTCAGAGAGGAGAGAGGAGAGGGAGAAGGAGAGAGGGGCAGAGGAGAAGGGAGGGAGAGAGAGCATGCGAGACGGGAAGGAGCGCCTTAGGGTCTCTGAAGCACGAAAGAGATAACCGATTAGGAATTTTTCAGGCAACTGTCATCCCGGAGAGCAGCCAGAGAATCACCATCACCCCAACTCTGACGTTTCCTACAAGAAGTTAGACTTAAGCAGTATTGACATCGGAGGGAAATGGTATGCCTGATGCTGTGGAAAATACCCCTGAGCTGAAGAAGTGCAATTGGATGGTGTGTGTGTGTGTTAAATACCAGAGGAGCCCAGACCCAGTGGGTAATAGAGACGAAAATGTGAAGAGAATGACTAACGACAAATCTGTGAATTTGTTCTCTGGAGTTGCTAATTTGCCAGCCCGAAGCAACACAATTTACAAGGAGGAAACGTTTTGCTGCTTCTGATTTCTCCCCAAACTGGTGCTACCAGATGCATGGCTTTCTATGTGTTGGAACAAATCATTCCTAACTGCAGCATACCGGGAAAGGGGAAAGGTTGAGGCAACTAACGTAAGTGTAAAGTTTCGCATGCACAATTGTAAATTTTGTGTTTAGACATGTCCTCAGTGTGGACGAGGGATGTTTGTAATTGGGTAGACGGTCGGGGCAGAGCTCACCTACTAGGCTGTATCTGCATCCCTACCTGCATCACTCTGCTGGAACTAATCGCGGGCATCAGCTACCGTGCAGCCTAATGCAGATAAGATTAGAGCCTGGGAACTGACCAGTTCTACTCAAGTAGGTAGCTGCCTGGAGCCTTACACCCATTTAAATTGCAGTTAGGGGAGCATTTAAGCAGAAGCCTTTTTACCTGCGTTATTGGGTTGCAGTATTTATGTGTGGCAGATGTTACTCATATTATAACCAGGGATCAGGGTTAAGAAACTGCATTTTTTCCTCTCTTACGTTCAGTAGAAAATATTGTGCTGTTACATGGAAATGTTAGCTGCGTTTTACTTCCATCTCAACACTCTCTTCCACATCTAGGATAAGGAATCCTGTATTATACATTTTTAAAAGTTTTAGTATGTTTCTTAATCCAAATGGGAATAATTTGGCAATATGGAGAAATGAGAGCAAGGTCTGGGTAGGAAATCTGAAGTCTTGGTATTGTGCTTTTAGGCAATGAGGATATGTAGTGGCCGGTGACTACTGCTTCTGATGCTGCAGCAGCATGTCCGGCTGCTTGTTTCCCAGTAAGATTGTGTTAGAAGGCAGTTGAAGAACTGGGAGGAAAGAAGAGAGAGTCTTTTTAGAGGAAAGAGGTGACTCAGTGTAGCAGAGAAGAAAACATCACATTTGACATGTGACAAGACAATTAGCAGGAACCATAGCTAAATACTTGGTGTTTTTCACTTGCACCTAAAAAAAAAAAAAAAAAGAAAACTAAGGGAGGTGGGTTAGAAGCCAGGAGGCGGGTAAGACAGGGGGAGGGGAAGAGGAGAACACGAATGCATGTTTTGAATTAAACAGTGTCCTGAAAAACAGTGTGGGTGAATTCAGGTAAAAATAGCAGCTGTCCTTAATTCAAAAGTAGATTAATTTCATTTTCTCCTGGCAAATGCAACAAGCAGTGGATATTTACTGTTTTTATCCACAAGAGTTAACTTGCAAACAGTGGCAGAGCAAACTGCCATGTTTACTAATGTGCAGTGGAAAAATGTGTTGTGATATTTCATGACTGTGTGTTTTTGTTTACTGAAGAATAATATTGTCTATACGATTGTGTTGACAGTGGCTGTCTCCAAATAAGCGATGAGATGTAATGCATCCTCCAGTCCATGCACGCTTCCTCTTGCGATTTGTGCATCATTCCTCAGTGGAAACCTTTAAACCCTAAAATCCAGGAAAAGAAAATAAATACATTATCATGGACCTGAGGGATTTTTACCTGTTGGCTGCTCTGATTGCCTGTTTAAGGCTGGATTCCGCAATAGCTCAAGAACTTATTTACACTATTAGAGAGGAATTGCCTGAAAATGTGCCCATAGGAAACATACCAAAGGATCTGAACATTTCTCACATCAATGCTGCCACAGGGACCAGTGCCAGCCTTGTCTACAGACTGGTTTCTAAAGCTGGGGATGCCCCTTTGGTGAAAGTATCCAGTAGCACTGGGGAAATTTTCACAACCTCCAATAGAATAGACAGAGAAAAACTCTGTGCTGGAGCCTCTTATGCTGAGGAGAATGAGTGCTTCTTTGAACTTGAGGTAGTGATCCTCCCCAATGATTTTTTCAGGCTGATCAAAATAAAAATAATTGTCAAGGATACCAATGATAATGCCCCCATGTTTCCATCTCCTGTCATCAATATTTCCATTCCAGAAAACACTTTGATCAACAGCCGCTTTCCAATTCCATCAGCAACAGATCCTGACACAGGCTTCAATGGTGTACAGCATTATGAATTGTTAAATGGGCAGAGTGTTTTTGGACTGGATATCGTGGAAACTCCGGAGGGAGAGAAGTGGCCGCAATTGATTGTTCAGCAAAACTTGGACAGAGAACAGAAAGATACCTATGTGATGAAAATCAAAGTGGAGGATGGAGGCACTCCACAGAAATCCAGCACGGCCATACTGCAGGTCACAGTAAGTGATGTAAATGACAACAGGCCAGTGTTTAAAGAGGGTCAAGTGGAGGTGCATATTCCAGAGAATGCTCCTGTGGGCACCTCTGTAATTCAGCTCCATGCCACTGATGCAGATATAGGCAGTAATGCTGAAATCCGGTACATTTTTGGTGCCCAGGTCGCCCCTGCAACCAAAAGGCTCTTTGCTTTAAATAATACTACTGGGCTGATTACAGTTCAGAGGTCCTTAGATCGAGAGGAGACAGCCATTCACAAAGTGACAGTGCTGGCTAGTGATGGCAGCTCCACTCCTGCTCGAGCAACGGTTACCATCAATGTCACTGATGTAAATGATAACCCTCCTAACATAGACCTCAGGTACATTATAAGTCCCATCAATGGCACCGTGTATTTATCTGAGAAAGATCCTGTCAATACAAAGATTGCCCTAATTACAGTTTCAGATAAGGACACGGATGTGAATGGCAAAGTGATCTGTTTTATTGAAAGAGAGGTCCCGTTTCATTTGAAGGCAGTATATGACAACCAATATTTGCTAGAGACCTCCTCTTTGCTGGACTATGAGGGCACCAAAGAATTCAGCTTTAAAATTGTTGCCTCTGATTCTGGGAAACCCAGTTTAAATCAGACTGCCCTGGTAAGGGTTAAGCTTGAGGACGAAAATGACAACCCACCAGTTTTCAACCAGCCTGTAATTGAGCTGTCAGTTTCTGAAAACAACCGACGTGGGTTATACTTAACAACTATTAGTGCCACGGATGAAGACAGTGGGAAAAATGCGGACATTGTTTATCAGCTTGGACCGAATGCCTCCTTCTTTGATTTGGACCGAAAGACGGGAGTTTTGACAGCCTCCAGAGTCTTTGACAGAGAAGAACAGGAGCGGTTCATTTTTACAGTAACTGCCAGGGACAATGGGACCCCTCCCCTCCAAAGCCAAGCGGCCGTGATAGTTACTGTTCTGGATGAGAATGACAATAGCCCCAAGTTTACTCATAATCATTTTCAATTTTTTGTGTCTGAGAATCTGCCAAAGTATAGTACTGTGGGGGTAATCACAGTGACAGATGCAGATGCTGGAGAGAATAAAGCTGTGACTCTCTCCATTCTAAATGACAATGATAATTTTGTGTTGGATCCCTATTCTGGAGTCATAAAGTCAAATGTCTCATTTGATAGAGAGCAGCAGAGTTCCTACACTTTTGACGTCAAAGCCACTGATGGAGGACAGCCGCCCCGTTCCTCCACTGCAAAAGTAACTATCAATGTCATGGATGTCAATGACAATAGCCCAGTTGTCATTTCTCCACCTTCCAATACTTCTTTTAAGTTGGTGCCCCTCTCAGCCATTCCTGGCTCTGTGGTAGCAGAAGTTTTTGCAGTGGATATCGACACTGGGATGAACGCTGAGCTTAAGTATACAATTGTGAGTGGGAACAACAAAGGCTTGTTTCGGATCGATCCAGTAACAGGTAACATCACTCTGGAAGAGAAACCGGCACCTACTGATGTGGGCTTGCACCGTTTGGTGGTCAATATAAGTGACCTGGGATACCCTAAGTCTTTGCACACACTTGTGCTTGTTTTCCTTTATGTTAATGACACTGCGGGGAATGCCTCCTATATCTATGACTTGATTCGCAGGACTATGGAGACCCCACTGGACAGGAACATAGGGGACAGTAGCCAACCCTATCAGAACGAGGACTATCTCACCATCATGATCGCCATCGTCGCAGGTGCCATGGTGGTCATAGTGGTGATCTTCGTCACCGTCCTGGTGCGCTGCCGCCATGCATCCAGGTTCAAAGCAGCTCAGAGGAGCAAGCAAGGTGCTGAATGGATGTCCCCAAACCAGGAGAACAAACAAAGCAAGAAAAAGAAAAGGAAGAAAAGAAAGTCTCCCAAGAGCTCTCTTTTGAACTTTGTTACAATTGAAGAGTCCAAACCTGACGATGCAGTTCACGAACCTATCAATGGGACAATAAGCCTGCCCGCTGAGCTGGAGGAGCAAAGTATAGGAAGATTTGACTGGGGCCCGGCCCCTCCAACAACCTTCAAGCCTAACAGCCCTGACCTGGCCAAGCACTACAAATCTGCTTCTCCACAGCCCGCTTTTCATCTTAAACCAGACACTCCAGTTTCCGTGAAAAAGCATCATGTGATTCAGGAACTCCCTTTGGACAACACCTTTGTCGGGGGTTGTGACACCCTTTCCAAACGCTCTTCCACTAGTTCAGATCACTTCAGTGCCTCAGAGTGCAGTTCCCAAGGAGGCTTCAAGACAAAGGGCCCCTTACACACCAGACAGGTAAACGAGCACTTTTACTGGTCTATAAGTACTGCATACAAGTGCCCAGTCAACCAGTATTAACGTGCCAGTGTGTCTATTGTTTTGGTCTAACTTTAGCTTAGTTATAAAGAGGGAAAAAAAAAACTTGACCCCTTTTCTGTTCCTCTGGGGCTCAGTCAAGAATTTTTAGAACAGCTTTGAAATTTCTGAGTTCTGAGAATTATTTAACTTCCCAGTTTCCTTCAAATGGCAAAAGATGAAAAGAGGAAATAATTCCAAAATGTCCCAAGATAATGTTTGCTGAAGAAGAAAACCTGTCCTGTAATGCCAAATTCTGCTCCTGGGGATTCCAAATTGACTGTTTCAAGATTTTCATGTCACCTTTTGATCTAAAAAGTCACCTTCAAATCCCAAGTTTTAAATGACGTTTGAAGGTGTGACCGTAATTATTTTGGAGCTGTGGTTGCTAAAGGGGTTAATTTTTTTTTAGTCTCTAAACAAGATAGTAGTTTATTAAATGTACATCCGCTGTGAAGCACATGATTGTTGATAGATTGCAATGAAGCCATATAGGAAGCCTTCTCTTTGATTTCAGATGATTTCATTGTAATATAGTACATTGGGTATTGAGTAGAAAGGTTGGCAAATTGTCCATAATGGCCAAAGTACTCTTTCAAGAAAAAAAAAATAGAAGGAATGCTTTCTCCCTGATATAACCAATTTATACAGAAAAGAATGAATCCATTGTAAATATTCTCCCATCTTAGTAATGCATAAGTGATCTGTCATAACTCATTTTAAACTGTGAAATATGCCACACGAAGAGGGATTAAGAGGCTGAGAAACTCATATTTCAACCAAATCCAGAATTAGTTTTTCTTAGGTCTAATAATTCCTTGTTAATAAAGATTTAAATGCAGCGCTGTCTAATTTATTTCACTGGTGCTTGTCTATTGCCATGAAATTTGAGTGTCAGTAATAGCCTGTAGATGGCACTAGGGTATCATGTCGCTTGTGCTGGCCAGGCGCCAATCCCGCAGTAGCAAGGAAAGGGGGGAGGGAAGGATCAAGCTGGTACTACAGCCAAAGATACCTTTTATTTAATGATAGTTGCTCTGGAGCAACTAGCATTTAAATTCATTTGGTTGCTCTTTTGTGATTAGCTCTCACCACACTAACTTTCTAGGATTTCCTAATCCAAGTTCTACCCTTGTTGGTACTGCGTCCACCTATGGTGATGACCCATCTGAATTTGTTCAAAATAAGGAACATCTAGATTTCAGAAAATCAAGTAAAGCAAAAATAAGTTTGCAGGACAGTATTGACAATTGTTGATCAGTGTTTGAAAACTGGAGAGTTTTTCCTTTTTTTATGTGGGGCATGGGGTGAGATAGAATGTTTCATTGAAACTCTAATTCCTCTTACCATCTACTGTTTATTGCTCTGGAGTGACTTTAAGGTTTCGCGGTAATAAGATATTTATAAAAATAATTTTGACATTGAATCACATAGATACTCCCAGAACAGTAAGCGTAAGGTCTGTGTTAAAAATCTCTACTTCTTAATGTAAAAGATTAGATGTCTACAGCATTTTTAAAGTACATATACTTAAAACTTGAATGCACAGAATGAAAGGAATTAAAATAAGTCTGTGTCAAAATTCTAGAGGAGAATATGAAGTTATCTGATAGGAGTTGAAGTTGGAAAGACTTATTTTTATGTGAACTTCATCGACTTTTTAAGAGAGGTTGTTTTAAAAGTTAGAAAATTTCTGAGTTTAGTAAAGGTTTATAAAAGTTGGTAAATAAGATAGTTACTCATGTTAAGTAATTTCTGAAACTAAATGGATTTTAAATATGAAGGTACTATGAATGAAAAGGAAGAAAACAGCCTTTTTATTTACTTTTAATGTGAAGGTCACTCACAATATGCTGATATTTTATGATTTGTGTACTCTCTTGAAAAAATCAAACATGATATGAACTTTTCATACAAAATCTGAAATTCATTTTCCAAAGAAACATTCTGATATTCTTCTGACATCATCTTTCTTTTCATGTAAATGTGGTGTGGATTAGCATTGACGCACGGGCCCACTTTTTCTGACTTCTCCGCAAAACTTGAAACTCTATGTAGTACAGTGACATAAATGTTAAGTGCATTTCAGCAAATTATGTAAAAGATATTTTGTTTAGGCTTAGTCATAAGAATATTTGTATGATGTAATCTTTAAAAAAGGATGCTGACTAATTCCCTAACTGGAACTAAAGTGCATTTTAGACATTCCTTGAGACCATGAGTTACTGTGCAATTCTCATTGGAGGCATTTGGATGTTCAGCTATAGCTGTAATTCACTATTATGCTGAAGAGCTATTGAAATGGCTTTGCTTATATCTTTTAGAAGTTTTCATGCCGAGAAAGAAAAATTGCAATGTTGGGGGAAAGGAATATTGGAAGTAAGGAGAAGTGATGGTGATAGCAATATGTACAATTTTAGCATAAGAGGCATATTTTCTATGAATGAAGAACATAAATAATATACTATCCTTTTAGTTGTTTTTTTTTAACCGAACTACGTGAGTTGTTATCTGAAGATGTTCTAGTTAAGCTAAAATAAAAATTCTTTTTTTAGCTCTATACTTCAACTAGTGGCTTTTATACAAAATATGCTCCTGGAGCTATGCAATTTTGAAAAAAAGTAGGGTTTATTACAACAAAAGCTTTCAAAGGAATTTATAAACATATAATGTGCGAAGATTTTTAGTTAAGTGGTCACGGAGTGCTGTGAACGGGAATACCTTTTTCACTTAATGGTGCTAGTTGATGGGTGAGCAAAATGCAAGACTCTTGAGTAAAGGGCTACCAAATTTGAATATCATTAATTTGTATTGTCTGTACAATGAAAACATCATGTCTGACTCTTACACCATGAGTTTGCTCACAATGCATTGGTTCTTAGTTTGTCCTTCATTCTCCTGCTGTTTTGCCTTGTGTGACCCTGCAGAGAATGTTGGAAGCCACTTTTCCCATCCACTCGATTTCACTGAGCTTTCATTTCCCTTAAACATAACAAATCTGTCACTGGATTTTCCACAAATTATTTTGCATAAATTTCAAAAATACTCATCATTCACAGATTGGGTGGAATTTCCTTTTTTTTTTTTTTTTTAAAAAAAAGCAAGAGCATATCTTGATATTTATTCATAAATAAGCAGAGTTCACTGTTAACAGGTTTAAGAGGATGACAAGGTAATCAATTCCAGTAGGGCTTCAAGTGACAAAGATTTTTGGTATATTTTTCTAAAAGTAAAATAAATTCTTAGTGGATATGATTTTTAGAATGTGATATCAGGTTCTCATATTTTAAGGTATCTCAGAATGATCTGGAAGTTTCTTAAAACATGGGCCCCATTCCCAGAGGTTCTGATTCAATACCACTGGGGTCATTGCTGACAAGATCATAGGCGGTGTTGTTGTTGCTAGTCCAGGGACCATACTTTGAGAACCACTGCCTCAGCATATTGGGATAGCAATGACAGGTCCTTTCCCTTTCAGATTATCATTTACAGAGTATCTGTTTATACAAAGCCCAGCTCTCACTCAGCTCTTATTGACAACCTTTTTATTGTAGCTGGAGGAGCTTTACAGTAAACTGTTTATTGCTATTTCCCAACGTGGTTGACAGCATTTGGGGAATTAATTTTCTCGGCCCCAGTGTGCTTTTTGTGGGGGTATAAATGAAAACGTTAAAAAGTGACCTATTTACATTTGACAACTTCTTCCAGGAATATAACAATCTGTGAGAGTTGCATTAAGAGTTTGGTTCTGGGTAAACAGTCATGTTTAATTTTCTAAATGAAATGCTTCTTTTAGAGTTTAAATATCCTGACTTCAACTGTTCACAATTGAGAGTATTTGCTCATATATATATGTGTATGTATATATAGATATAGATATCTATATATATCTGTGTTTGTACCGAAGAAATGAAACATTGAAAATGTGTATGCATGCTATACTCAAGTGTATACATGTACTTTTACTGCAGAAAGGGAATTGCTTCTATTCCCAATCATTTAGAGATACCATACTACATTCACGATTACTTTTCATTTTTGAGTAATCCCACTACAACCACTAAAACGCTATGTCATGTAAAATGTGCAAGACCATCATATAGAATTTCTATTCAGAACAGTGGGAAAATGCAATTGAAAGTGAAGGGAGCAAATCTGAACTAATATGAGGCTACTAAAAAAAACTGAAGATACCCTAAACTACTAAATTTTGCAGTATATTGTGACAGTTGAACATGGGTGGCATGTGGAGAAAAATTGTTCCCCAAATGCAAGTTATATTTAAAATGTTATCAGTTGTGATTTTTATTTCTACGCCTTCCCGTTGGCTAAGTGCCCCATGCTCATGAAGTCAGTTGTGAGGTAAAGGAAACTCAGGCCCCTTGGACTGAGTTAGGAATTTGAAGTGAGGATGGGCCATCTATACAAACTGGCTGCCTCTCCTGTTAGATTTGTGAGACAAATACTCGATTTTTTTTCAACTTGATACAGCTAAGCTATAAAATTCAAGGTACATTTTAGTATTCGTTGCTGATAACCTTGAGGAGAGTAAAATTAAAAGTTGCCAGTGTATTAAGCATAGATGTGTCTTCTGATTACTGAATACAAGTTAACATAAAGAAAACAATTTCAGTAGTTAAAAAACTATCTCCTAAATTTTGCAATTATTTCTATATATAGAAACACTCTAAACTGACATTCCCTTAGTTTCAAATGAGTCATCCTTATGGTGTCACAGAAGAGGCTTTAACATCATTAAAATTACCTTGCAAGTATTGTAAATGGTAATATGTGATATTCTTATGGTATATGCATCATTTTCTAATTATTTCAAGCTATAATGTATCTTTTCATAATAACACACATTAAAATATATGTGAAATATTAACATAGAGTTTAAATTTAATGAAAAACCCAAATCTAAAATCACATTTTCTGATAACCAATTGTCAATTAGTTTGAATCTTGAACTTGCATTTTTCACATTGACTGACATGTGAGATGTGTATAAACTATACCCAAAATATTAGAAATGGTTCTTTAACGAATTATTTTTCGTATCACATTATTTTCTATGATAGTACTGACGTATGAAAGTGAGACCTGTAAATTATTTTCTCGGTAGCTCTGTTTCCACAATTTTATTTTGTTGGTCAGATTTTTTTGATTTCTAATTTTTTTGAGGGGGTGTGTGGGTGGGAATGCAGAAATAGTCCAGATGCTAACTAACATCCACAGTGGCCATGGTGGTCTAGTGGTACCACACTGTTTATAGGATCGAGGGCCATGTCAACTGTACTGCTCTTCTTTTTTTTTTTTTTTTTTTTTTTTTTAGCACTTTCTCAGTTTGACTTTGTCAGAGTTGAACCCTTAGCTTGCTTATTATTACAGACAAAACCAAAATTGAGTTTGGTGAATTGTTTACCACTTTCACTTAAAATCCCTGTAGTAAGCATTCTCTGAATTTAATGTGGTGTTTTCTTGCAGGAGACCCTTTATTCAAACTAGTCTCTTGCTAATACTAACAAATTAGTTAATACCTTATACACTCAGTGTAGTTGGAAACTAAGAATTATTTAACACAGGTTTTTAAATTTTGGCTTTCTTGACAGCTGATTTTATGTTTAATATATTTTCCAGCATTTTACATACCAGGGCCCTAAAATTAGTCTTTTAAAAAATATGACTCTAATCACAGATCAAATATGAATGAGAATTTGGGAATGCAAGGCAGCAGGACACTTGCTCTAAAGTTTTCAGTATCTGGAGGCATAGAAGTTCAATAACTAATAATG